GGCCCAGCCCTGAACCATGACATTCATGCATACCAACAACAGATGAAAAGCTCATGTGATTCTTTTTTCACTGCCAGTTTTCTATTCCATCTATTTCTATGCCCACTAAGCAATTTACTGGCAAATGGACCCAAGCAAGAGGACTCCAGCAAAGGGCTGTGCTTCCCAAAAGAAGCTATGCGATACCTACCCTTCCTACAACGCCACGGCCCCTGACTGTTTCCAAGGTGCCGGACAAGCTAAATATCCTCCAGTGCCGTTCTCGGAGCTGTACCACTTCGCTGTCAAGGTTTTCCAAGCGAATACAGTAGCGCCACTGGACAGAAGAAAGACTTTTGTCAAGAACTGGAATCGGCTGCAAATAATTGATAACCCACAGCAGATACTGGGAAACAGCTGCCAGGCAAAGGCTACTCTCCCTCAGAGCTTATCACACAGCAATGATGCCACCGCAGATAAACTCCTTCCCTTTAGCTGCTCCGTGAAACAAAAAGCACTTACCCAGTAGACATGGGAATTCTGGGCTTCCTGTCAAGAGAAACAAAAGACTTTAGCAGCTGCCCTTCAATGCTCAGCGCCAAAACCTCTTCAGCTGCCAGCACAGCACAAGCACAGGGGCTCTCGCTCCGTGCCAGCTTGACGCAGACAACTCACATGAGCACACAGACAGCTGCTCTCCGAAGCAGCCCAGCAGCTACCGCCTGGCACTGGCTCTGCTCTAGACACGTAGTCATGAGGTGGGAGATTTGCAAGGGTCTCATGACTACGGAGGCTTGATCTCCATGTTAATTATGCACTTTTTACAGATCTACAGATCATTTCCACTTTCTACAGAAACACCCATTTCCTTGCCTTTGGGCACCTGTTTCTTCTGACAAAGTTAGGACAAACAGAAGCTGCAAATCCACACCAAAACGTGTCCAGGTGCCACAGTGCAGGCTTCCCCAGCAGCTGTACTGGTCCAGACTTGGAAATCAAACCGCTGTGGAAATTCCCACCCCTCCCACTCAGAAGCCTATTGGAGTCTCTTTATTTCGGATGGTCCACATGAAGTTCATACACTATAAAGAGCATGCTGTTATCAGCAAAATCCAGAAGGCTTTGGCCAAACCCTCTAACCCACATTAGAGGCAGGAAACAGGGGTAGACACCCACAGCACATCACTGGGTGGGATAACGGACACGTCTGTCATTACAGGGCAGCCTTGGTGTCACCCGTTATGCCCATGCCCATCTGTGACCGAGGCAGCAAAGGGACATTTCACAACCCTACCTAAAAATGCTCCTCAAGATCTTGCTAACGCTCTTCTGCAGAGCAGTACAGTGTATTTCTCATCCTTCAAATAACAAGCAAAAGCCAAGTTGCAGGAGGTGTTCTCCAAAAACGTACAACAAAACAGTTTCATGTGCATACCTCTGCTGAACATAGTGCCAACTGCAACTGTGATTAAAGAGTCATTTCTCCAGTAAGGAGAAGGTACCTTCAGCCAGTAAACTGGTTGTAGAAAAACACGCAAGTTAAACAGATCACAGACCAAGACAGCAACACGCAGCACACACCTACCCTCATGCCCATATAGAAAGGGATGACGGTGACACGGATGTTCTCTGTGGTTTCTCGGTGCACGTCGGAGAGCTCCAGCCAGGGGTGGTTTTTCTCCTGCCAGGCACACAGCGTATCCCTTGCTACAAAAGGTGGAACTGTGGGGAGGGAAAGACGAGAGCTTATGAGGAGGGGCACACTGGGGTGTTTTCCCTCAAAGTAACTTCTTTCACAGAGATACAAAAATTATTTAAAGGAGGCTTTACTGCAATAAACCCCAAACCAGACCAGGATTTTTACACTTATTCCAAAATTATGGGTTCTGGATACTTGTCATGGAATACCTCAAGCATCTGGCTCTGAAGATTTCCCTCTGAAGCCAGAAATTACCTTTTGTTTGGTCGTACATGAGAAACCTCTCAAAAAGCTCGTGCTGGATGGGTACTTGATCAGTGGAGGAGAAGGGAAGGATATCTTCATGGCTTACATAATCTAAACCTGAAAAAGAAACCCCAAAAGCCACTGAACCTCACCAGCAAAGAAAGGGCAGCTTAGAAGTCTCCTGGAAGAGAAATGGCTCCCACTTGTGAGAAGTTAAGAAAAGGATTTTGGCAGCAGCAGCCAAAGCTAATACCACGACTACAAGCAAGAATGGAGGAAACAGGCAAGTAACAACCCTCGGCTGCGCTCTCCTCTGAGATTTCTCCATAAAATGATTTCTCTGATAAGCACACACAGCCTGGGAAGTGACTGCACTGGCACAAAAGGCCTTTGGGCAAGAAACACACAGGACAAGACAACACCAAGCTGTCCTGGTAATAAAGCAGAACAGCCCATGTACATCAGGCTGTGCACGTGGGATCTGTGTCTCAAGAGCTCAGAGTAGGCATGTTTTGTGTCTGAGCAGAGTCTGCCCAATGTCCATCTGCCCAGAAGGGCTTCCTGTACTTCAGTCACTCTGTGTTTCTGGCAGGGCCCTGATCCAGAGACAGATTCACTAAAGGAACGTAGTCCTGTCCCATGGGCACTGCCGCTTCCCAGGCAGGAGCTGACCATTGGTGACTTCCATGACAACTCACATCTCACCCAGAGGCCAAAGGTGCATTTAACTCACCCACCTGGTATGGCATAGAGGGCTCTGCTGTCATCGTGGTTTGCCAGGAACGTCACTGCTTCTGTCTGCGATCTCTGAGACTGAGAAAAGGAGATGTTTGTGTCTTTGTATGGATTGTTGTGGGCCAGTTTCCAGCCACGTTTCAGTTTACTACCGCAGTTTCTAAAGTATTTAACCTATTTTTCTAAAGTATTTAACCTCAATTCACCTCAGAACATCTCTCCTTTTAATCCCTCTAGACAAATTCTTCTCCACTCAAACAAGCGAGAAGCATTTTCAGTGCTATGACCCACGTTCACAATGACCTGTACGT